ACACAACCGAGCGGGCCACCTTACATGCTTTTTTTGGCCGGAGTAGAAATCAAAGGCTATTTTCAACCCCTAAAATAACTTTGCATTACTAAAACTAGCTATTCTTGCGCTGCGGACATTGCAATCGCCTATGGCCTAGAATATGGCAGTCACTGCAGCGGGGGGGTGCCCGTTGAGGGCGTTGTTCTGTATCTACTACCTGCTCTGGAGGGATAGTTGGAATAGCTTCAGCAGCCTGATTCCGCTGTTGAATGAACTCCTGGCCTTCCTGGATAGAGAATCCCTCTGCAGCTTCTATCTGCCTCCTAGATCGCTTCCTATTTTGAAGCTGCTTCTCATGTGCAGCACGTAGATCCTGATTTCCTTGCAAGAAGGACAGCATTATTCATTGCCATCTCACACCCCTTGATAATCTGATCTAGCACAGCCTTAGTAGGGGTAGGAGGGCTGTATGTACGCTCCCTAAGTAGCTTCTTAAGCGTACTTTCCTGCTTTTTCAACTGCTCAAGATTGTAAGGCGTTTTTGGGATAGAATCTGTTGATCGGCTGCCTGGTGGTGTAGGGGTTTTAAGTTGAATATTAAGCTGACTGAGCACCCGATCTGGATTTAGTGGTATTAATCCAGTTGCTGAAAAACCACTTCTAATATTGTCTGCTGAAAAGATTGCCGTACGAGCTTGTGGATAGGCCTCGAGGAAGTCAAACTTATCAATATGGTTGAAACCAAGTCGCATCTTATCCTCAATCAGGCGGCCATATGCACGTTTTAGCGGAGAGAAACAGCCAACATCCAGAGGTTGAAGGAGATGTGATGAATGCGCAGGCATGCAGATTGGAATAATATCATTCTCACTGCAGATCTGATCAAATTGAGGTGTTAGATGGCTTCCATGGCCATCAAGAATCAAGAGTCGGTATCTTCCAGTCGTACGACTAGTAGTAGCAGGAATAAAGACTTTCTGAAGCCACCGTAATCCAATCTGATCAGTCGTCCATCCATTCTCACTGACCTCGATCCGCCAGTCTGCTGGTAAGGCTGGATCTTGATACCATCCCTCAATATGGACCTTTCCTTTGAAGATAATGCATGGTGGAAGTACCCATCCAGTAGAGTTAATACACTCTATAGATGTAACCCATTCGCGGTTCCCTGGCTGGATAAGGAAGGGCCGACCAAGCATCTCAGCTCTTGTAACTACCTTAGCAGTAGCTACTAAGCCCATTGCAAAGCCAGTTTCATCAAAGTTGTAGATATCTTCTAGCGCAATCCCATGCTGCATCATTGTGATCTGGACACGATTGAACCATTCTTGGATGATCTTTGGGTCTTCACATTTGGCACGCTGGTGATTATAGCGCCTAGAGAATCGGGTTTTGATCTCATCATGCCGTTTAATGAAGTTATATACCCAATTCTCTCCAACAGTTTGGATAGTAGGTAAACCACGCTTTGCAAGGAGGATATTTGCCATTTCTCGCACATGAGACGGTCGGGGAGCCGCTCCACGTTGATCCATAGATAAAATCCATCTAATAAGCGATTCCTCTTCATTCTGAGTCATTTTATGCCCATTGGCGCGTGTCTCAGCCCGAAAACCATGCCCATTCCATCGCCGCTGGAGAGTTGTACGGGGTACATTAAAAACACGTGCTGCTTCACGAACAGTGCGAATTTCTTGCTTTTTAAGGGCTGATATAGCAAGAATTATCCGTCCTTCTTGCTCAACTGAATTTTGTAACTTTGTAGATGATTTTGGTGGCATGATTGATGTTTGAACTGCCTTACTCTCTTGAGAGTACGTAGAAACGCGTGAGGTGGCCCGCTCGGTTGTGTGGCCCGCTCGGTTGTGGATTACGTTAACTATGAGTATATAACAAGAAGATCCTATATTATTGCTCGCAGGATATCATATCATACAGTATCTAACACATCAAATATAATTACACGGTCCTTTACCAAGCTGTATGTCCACCGTCAATGACAAGACAGCTTCCCGTCATGAAACTGCTTGCCGGTGAGAGCATGAAGATAGTGGCGCCTGTGAACTCTTCAGGAGCCGCCAGTCGACCTAGCATATTCTCCTTCTCCCATGTTTCTTTCAAGCCGGGAACCTCCTCGAAGTTCTTTTGAACCATGGGGGTGATGATATGCCCCGGACACAGCGCATTCACTCGGATTCCATGCTTGCCCCATTCCATCGCCAGATTCCGCGTGAGCTGAATGACCGCTGCTTTGGAGGCATTATATGCAGGACACGTCAGACCCTTGTTGGCAATCATTCCTGACATACTGGCCACGAGCACAATGGATCCCGGCCGCTTGGTCTGCATCATCTGCTGCGCGACGGCGTTGGCGGACATGAAGACGCCCGTGAAGTTGACATCCATCAAGTCTGCGACATCCTGGGGAGTGTGGTCTACCGCGTCCTTGACACGCTGAATGCCCGCGGCTGCTACCAGTCCATCGATCTGCCCGTGTTCTTTGGTGATCATACTGATCGTCTTGTTCAGGTGCTCTCTGTCTCTCACGTCGACGTGATGGTAATGTATTGACCCCTCAAGGTTCTTGGACGCTTCTTGCGATAGTGCGAAATCGGGGTGAGGAGTGTCTAATCGATCGAAGCAATGTACTGTATGATCAATTGGGTTAGCATTGAGAAATCATCAGCATGTCAAGCCTGAGGAGAGTGTCACCTTGTGCGCCCGCTTGTACCATGGCTTCGGCTATGGTAAGCCCCAGTCCTCGTCCGCCCCCCGTGACAACATATGCCTTGTCGCGTAGACTGAAGTTGGGATATGCCTTTTCCGTCGAAGCCGCAGCAGGCTTGCCATTCTTGAAAGCTTCCGGATCTAGGCGCAGAGTGGACGAGGAGAACGTTCGATATGCCGTAATTGGAGCGGTGACTTTGGAAAGTCGTCCAGATCGGGTGATGGACGCTGGCAGCGAATTGAGTAAGCGTATTGAAGCCATTCTGAGCGTGTCTATCGTTAGAGTATGAAGTTTCTGGAGTCACCAGTCGCTCGAAGCTTCTGAATCAATGGCAGTCCTTTATATCTAGCACTACCCATCTTCAGATTATGCAATAGATAAGATCAAGATCCTGTGGACCACGGGTGAAATTCAGGGCACGTTTCCATTGACCAAGATTGAGGATCGAACTGTTGAATAGTATGACGTCGGTGTAAGGTCAGACGCGCCTATCTGAGCCAGATCTCTGTCTTGGAAGTCGATGCACGGCCAATCCATGACTTTATTTGATGTAAACTCTGGGATCATGACCTTAGTGCTTCAGCAAGCTGTTTAATTAATATTAAATGCATTTATTCTACTTGTAGTGGCTTGCTGACTTATTGTTGGTAGATCTTGATAACTTAGTTAACTAGTTACTTGACTCTATTTCGACGATCACACAGCTACTACTAAGTCTGCGACCAGCATCATCTCGCCTCCCCTGCATACATGAGAGGGAACTATTTGTATGCAGTCACTGCTACCTCTCTCGATTTCGTAGTACTAACAATATACTGGTAAACTGACTCGGCCATCTGTATCTACAGTTTGCCTGTCCGCCCCCCACATGATCATGACGATGTTTTCACCATGACATATATGGCTGTCAGATGGATTTCCTCTTCCGACCAATCAATGCACATTCGAATGAGCAAATCATGATAGTCGATAGCTTACTTTGCCATGCGCAGACTGTCTACATTCCAATAAACAGGGAGGTGATTTGTCGATCGCCTCCTGACATAGTATATCGAGAGTTCTTGCCATGGCAGAGGCGACTGCAAGCATTCTGGCAGGGCTACATAAACATCTGCCTTGCAAGATAGAGTACAGTGCCCACTCTACTGGTGTCAGCTTTTTGATTCCTTCCGCCAATCGAATCTTTACGATCTACATATCTTGCTAATTAGGGAACTCTCTTCTCTTCTAACCGAAAATCATGCAACGCTCCCTGTTTCGTCCACATCTCCTCTCGAACCGTCTCGGTCGATCTCCATCTCTCTGGCGGACTACAGCCGCAAGGGTCGCAACTAGAGCCGACCATCACCCAAACCCAGGCAATTTTGCCAACCGTCCAAAGGAAGAGCTCTCCGAGATTGGTCGCAAAGGTGGTCGCAAGGGAGGTAGAGCCAGGGGTGTGGGGGGCTTCCATGATATGGACCCTGAGAAACAGGTGAGACTAAGGGAGGCCATGCATCACGTTATGCATATAGTGACTTGTCCGTCGGCAGCACGAAATCGCCTCTCGAGGAGGTCGTGCGACCAGGAAAGCAGCTGAGCAGGCGGAGAAACATCAGGGCGTCGCTGGAGAGAGACGTCGCACTCATGAGCCTTCAGCAGCAAGTCCGGGGTTTGAGGAGTCATGGACGGCATAAATGTCTCAAATTGTATGATGTAGATTATAGATAGACGCATGTATATCTAGATGTAGACAGAATCAATTTCCTAGATACTGATACCTCTCTCAAGTAGCGAATATGCGCTTCATAACTACAGAGTACTTGAGGATGTTACGTCACGGTCACGGGTCCGCCAGTCCCAATTAGGCATTCTATAAACAATCCACTGTTGTTGCCCGAGAACTCAGGCAGACATAAGGTGCGCGTTTCTCTGCATCGGAGATCATCCACTCCTCTACCAATCTGGCGGTAATAATTAATCCATTTCAATCGGGTTTCTTCGGCCATCTTCGTGTATCGCATCGAGATTCTTATCGCATTATCAATATAATCTATCTATACAACCACGCAACTGAACGATGCTGTTCGCCTGAGCGAACCCTCGACTAGATCTCACCATGGCTGACACCCGCTACACTTCGCCAGACCCGACAACCCACGACACGGTCGGCGCGTCTACAATCGCTACACCTTTGTTTCTGCCGTCGTCACCTCCTCCTGCTGAGGAGAGAGTGGTTGATTCTCTTCCACGTGCCGATAGCCCTGTTTCCGACCGTGTCGCTGCCGAGAGTGAGGGAGCGCGTTCGCCAGCGCTCTCTAGAGCTTCGTCTCCCGATCATCAAGCGAACGAACTCGATGCGCGACTAGCGGAATATACTGTTGATTTTCGCGCTTTATCCGGCACACAGTTAGCTCGCGATGATGATACGCTACCGGATCTGAAATTTCCGCACGAGGAGGACAGGCTCTCTGAGGTCGGTGGCCCGGAGGATTTTACTGCCAACATGGAGAGGTATCTGATGGGCATGGATGATGACTTGGAGGATAAGGATTGGGAGAAGGGTCAATCAGCGCTCATGAAGGACAATCCGCAGCCAGCGATTACACAGGGCGACAAGCACGAGGGGCAAGGAGAAGAAAAGGAGGCGGACCACCAGCCACAACAACAGGGGCATGGCTTACAGCAGCCTGGCCTAGAGGACGAAGCGGAAGTTAGCGAGTACAGTGAATTCGGACCCCCTGTTGACATGTCTACTCCATCCCATTTCCTGCGTAGGACAGGCGCTTTCGTTAAGGAAATGACCCAGCTGGAAGACATTGAGGAGGATCCCGACGATGAAGCCCAACCAGTTTCCACACCGTCTGTCCAGAGACAGACCGCTACACTACAGAAGGATACGACGGATTCGAACGAGGATTTGCGGCGTCAAATCGCCGAATTAAAAGCAGCGATCCGAGACCGCGATCAGCAGCTGGAGAGAAACCATAGACGGATACTGGAAGCCGCTTCTGCGGGGGAGCAGATCAAGCATTTGCAGGCTGAACTCCAGAAGAAATCAAGCCAGTTGGACGATCTTCAAGCGAAAATCGACGACGAGGCAAATTTGCGACAGCAGATACAGGTGCTCCAGAACGAGAACGACGAAAAAGAGTCGTACATGCGGAGATCCTCGTTCAGCCAGTCAGGACTCAGTGCGCTTCAGAAACAGCTCGGCGATATGCAAAAGGAGCTGCAGAGCAGGGATACGCGCCCGGACCTGGACGCAGAGCGACTGGAGACGATTGCATATCTACGTCAACAACTGGACCTGGCGCAAGAACAGGTGAAGAAACGCGATGCGACGCTCGAAGACACCCTAGCCAAACTGAGAGATGTCACCGCAGCGAAAGAGCTACAGTTGCGAGAGAAAAACACTGAAATTGATGGGCTCAAGGCTCAAATTGATGACAATCTCATGGAGATTGACAGACTGGAGACCGAACTAGACCAGGCGAACCAAGAATACCGAATTCTCGAAGAGAAGGTGGAATCTCTGGAGACCAAGAATCGCCCGCTAGAAGAGAAGAATAGCACTCTTGAAGCCGATCTTAACCGCGCCCAGTCGCAGGTTACGGCTCAAGGAAACGCGCTCAAGGCCATGGCGGCAGAAATGCCACTCGAAGCAGGAGGAAGGAATACGTACACCGAGATTCTCGAACTTATTAAAGATCTTGACCCGCATAGCACGACACGCTCGTCCGGAAAGCCTTCCTTGTCAAGAGATGCAGACTCAAAAGATGAAATAATGGAAGAATATCGTCAGGATTTGGCCAAGGCCCGGGCCGAACTGGAGGAGGCATCTTCGGTTCGGAAGGCCCTTGAGCTCGATTTGAAGCGGTCCCAGGAACAGGCCGCTGAGGCGCAGACCCTCTTCAAGTCGGTTGAGGACGAGAACACCCGCCTCACTAAACGAATAGACGACCTGCGAACCAGCCTAGACAAAGTTCAGGGAGAACTCAGCCAGATGAAGGCGGAGCATTCGGAAGCCCTCGAAACCATCGGCTGTCTTCAGACAGAGAAGAACACGCAGCAACCCAGTCCTCCCCCTTCACCACCCGCACCACGCAACATCGGCCAGGCAGAGAAGCTCGAAGAATCGTACCGCGCCCAACTCAAGAGCCTCCAAACTGCACACGCCACCGCCATCTCCACTCTACGTTCGTCCCACGCCGACTCAACCCGCAAACTACGTGATCTCCTTGCCGCGGCCGAGAAGCGAGAATCCAAACTCAAAGCCGAAGTGCAGTCCCTGCTCGCTGCGCGTGCGACGCAAGATACTCAAATACAGTCTCTTGACGCCGAGGTCAGAAGACTGCAATCTGCGATTGCCGTGAAAGAAGAGGCGGCCGCTGCCCTGGATGAGCGAATCGCCCGGTCCGTCGAGAAGCGCGAGAAAGAGTGGGAGCGCCGCGTGGATCTGCTCCTAAAGGAGCGAGAGCGGATGGCCAAAGCCCTCATGTGGGCCTGGGGGGAGAAGGAAGTCGGCGACGTCAAGGAGAACCTCGGCGAGGATGGGCGACGCGTCAGACAGGCCTATCGATACAAGTATGCTCAGAGGAAAGGAAGGGAGGGATAGAAAGCATGAATGCCCTCCCCATACACTCTTCTCTGCTTTTATCGAGTCATTGGCGTTCATTTGAAAGGTCTGCGCGGGGTTGTCTTTGTGTAAGATGATAACGTTTCTAATCGGTTGATACTGGGCTCTGGGCATAATTTAGGCGCAATGGCTTCTCTAGGGCAACGTTTCACTGCCGTGGGTTAGGATTGGAATAGCGCTCAATTCAAGTCCACAGAATGATTTTTGCATAATTCCCATCGCCTAATATGACCCCTTACAAGGGTGATCTCTTTAAGAAAGGAAATACAGATTCAGCATGAATGAGAATCTATAACGTTTTCAAACATATGACAGAGAAAAGTTCAGTATAAATACTTCAAAGAAATAGAGAAGACTCATCCATATGAAGATGAGTATGGAAGAAAAGAAAGCAAGGGCGTTCCAAAGCCAATAACAACCCATGTTGAAGCCACTTGACAATATCAAATGCACTCTTGGTGATTGGGCTCATGTCTGGCCAGCAGACTAGAAAATGACCTAGCTAAATCTATGCATACTGGTGCGATTGGCACCGCGGTACGTATTCCCGTCGAGGATGGTGCGCCTCCCCTGGTCGTCAAGCGTCACAGTCGTTCGAGCCTCGTCGACGGACGAACCTGTCTCCCTGATACTATCCAGGGGTCCGTGGCCCAGCGAAGCGATCCTACCACAAGTCGAGCTGCGAGGCCTCCGTGTGCTGGGATAGATGATTTCCACGTCATTTCTGCGCCAAGCGGGGCCCATGGTACGGTATTGCTCGAACTGCTGGTGAGGGCGGTGGTGATGACTCTGCGTGTGGCGGGGGATCTGGTTTGGATCAAACTGGTAGCTTGGTCTGTGTCTTTGGCTGTAGCGATGCGTGTGACGACGGGCTACCGTGTTAGGCTCGATGAGGGAAACGCGGCGATTGGGAGGTCGGTCCATCGGCCGTCGGGCGATCTGATTTGGGGGGATGAGCATGTAAGCAGGGTGCTGGGGCTGATAGGCAGGGAGTGTATTTGAAGTATTGGATCTGTGAACTGTGGCCGGGGGTGCCACGACTTCGGGAGCATCGGCGGAGTTTGCTGTCATTGATCGGGGGCGAGAAGGTCCTTTCAACTGAGCTCCTGCGACGGAGCTTTCCATCTCAGAAGGCCAATCAGGTGTAGAGGGGAAGGGGTGCTGGCTGGGTGAAGAGTTTGGTGACTGCCCAGTCTGTTCCTGCTTTACAGTAACACCGTCCCTCTGTGGTTGCTGTTCGACATCCCGACGGGGATCAGCTTCGGCTAGGGCGCGGATCTGAGGATCCGCCGACAGAGGAATTGATATGGGCAGGACTTTGAGAAGGGACCTGCAAAGGGACGATATGGACGACTTTTGTCTCAAGTGTCCCAGTGAAGAAGGGATTGGAGGGACCTGGGGAGTTCCAGACAGCTCTGCACAGGGAGGGTTCTGGAACGAAGCCTCGCTTGCAGTTTTCAGCGTTGCGACAGTAGGGGTGCGAGATACTGGAGCCCAGTTAGTCGGCCTCACTGCCTCTTTTCCGTAGCGCGAGTCTTACCTGTGGAAGCAAGAGTTGTCCCTGACAGGATCTCTGCTGCTTCGTATGCTTGGTCTGTATCAAGCCGAAGTTGAGACTTTGGCCGTATCGGTCGAGGATGTTGAATAGTTGGCGAACCGGCCTTTTCCATAAGGTCGTCGTTGCCGGACGGTATATATACTCCCTGGGTGCCGAACGTGACATCAGGCCCACGGCAAAGATAGTATATGTCATTCGACAGGCAGCTTTCTCTGTCGAAGCTTGTTTGGGAACAAACACTGTCGCTGCGCATTGGCTGCCGCTGCGAGTATACCCCCAACAGAGACACGTCGTAAGGTCGGCGACAAAGCTCGCGGGAGCAGAAATAGAGGCAGACGGTGATACTGAAGATTCCCATCAACACCTTTCCCATAACAACTGGGGACTTGCCATCACTCACAAGGATAGAACTGAAATGATAACGGCAGCTCTGTGAAGCGCACAGCTGACACCGGTTTTCCAGAAACCACCGTTCATACTGTCCGGAAGACATGAAATCT